ACTGTTTCAGACCAGTCTCCATATCCCGCGCTCGCATGCAGCAGTCCACAATGGCAAAAACGGCGGCATGGTGGCGGGGCATGAGCAAGGTGGACAAGTCGGAGTGCAGTGTTGTTGAATACTGCATTAAGGCGCATTGTTATACACTACTCAAGTTTGTTTGTTCGTGTCGTCATGATCTCGTCGCGACGAAGCTCAAGCAGCGGTTATTTTAGCTGATTGTAGATGTCGCTTTCGTATAAGGTACAAAGAGCTCTCTGCTTTCTCCCCCACCCCATAATTTCCGTCCTGTATATACTGTAATGGTATTATATACAGCGGCGGTATGTATGAGCTTTCCTATACAGTACGTATATACGGTAACACTATACTATAGCTTACTTATAAAGTACATATGTGCACCGTGCAGCAGCAATGTTTAAAAGGTGAGCATCCTATATGAATAAACCGCTATTCAGCCGGCTTATATAAACACATGATTACTCCTAAATAAGCTTAATTTAATCGTTATAACCATTTATGATGTGATTCACGTCTAAATGATGTTCCCTATACATTTGAGATGTTCATGCCGATGGCCTTCATTCAGTCGTTGTTCAACGTGCGAAGAGCCAAAGAGATGGATTCATGCATATTGAGGGTTTTTGGGGACACAAAATATTGCATCAATGGTTGTTTTTAGTCTCATTCTAAATTTTAAACACATTATTGACAAAATAGTGGCTTTATATATGATGCGTCTACGATATCTAAAATTCTATATCATCTGCTGTCATCAGTTGCCTATAGTTATTCAATCGGCGCTCAGCATTCTTCATCAGAAACTGCTGCATCTGTATAATGATTATAGTGGTGATATGGCGGCGAATTTCAGAGTACTGTATAGTGTACTGCATGGGTATGGAAGGTGGACTCTAAAACAAAATTCAAGGGACCATAAAAAGTTTTTTTTTAAGAATTTAGTTGTAGAGAACCCCTGTAACATGGGGAGAGAAGCATAAAGGGCCACAGAAAATTCATTATACAGTACTTGTGCTGTTTATAGCAGATACAATTAATGTACTGCAGTTACAGTAGATGCTATAGCCAGCACTTCTTACACCAGTAGCTTCATATCTATAGACTGTAGATACTTCGTCATTTCTTACATTTTAGAGTATTTGTCACAGGAATGTTCACGAAACCGCATGTAGTACAGTACCACGTACCATATGCTGCGTGTGATAGAGAGAAAACGGGAAAATATGGAGCCATTATGTGTGATCTTATTGGTGGGCCGGGAGCCTTAGATCCGGGGCATGCGACGGTTTTATTTTCGGGAAGAACTCTTGTCCGCTATATTTGCGCCTTTCTCTCCATCGCATAGTCAACCAACTCCCCAGTCCCCACGCGGCGACACGCAGTGCCTGTTCAGTTGAATTCGGGGAAGCTCTTTTTTTTTTCGCGGGGAATTGAGTGTACACACTATATGGCGTGGACAGGGCAAACATATATACGCAGTACAGTACGGTGTTAGCTCAGACTGAAGTGGATCCCTGAAGAAAGGGTTGCTCTTATCATCAGATCGTGATCATCATCTCTTTATTGGGGCCGGGGGTACGTGAAGTGAAAACATGATGCAGGCGATCAGCGAACGCGCGGTACGGAAAACGTACGAGGTTGCTTCAGAGATAATAAAAATTAACGAAAAAATAATTGTAAAAAAAAACGTAGGCCGTGCTCTGCTGATCGGGGGAAAGTCTTGACCCGCGGGCGTATAACTTTCCTCGACTGGCCGTTTCCTGCAATGGCTCGAGGTCACACCATCTACAGTACATCTACAGCATGGGGCCTATGTACCTCATTCGTCGTCGCACCGCGCAAAGCTGACATACATATGAGAGACTTTGATCAATATCCGCGAGAATGCTGTTGACGCGTCCATCACCATCAAATTTTACATAATGCAACTGCTGCTTGTATGCTAAAAGTCTAAAACACCATGCTTAATTTCCCTGTGTCTTATTTATTTATGCCCATTCAATTTCAAATTTTTAATTAAATCTAATATATAGCTATGGTCATTTTGCGTCCCTGCGACTTTTCATGTCGGATTCTTACGAGTGGAATTCGCATAAATTTGCACCCCATCAGTAATAATATGACAGTACTATATACTGGAAAAAATGTGTGCACATAACTTATGCATGATAACAAGTGAAACATATTTGTATCCTTATAAAATTGTTTCTATGCTGTATTCGTAGTAAAATTATTTTAAAAGAGTGCAATCCAAAGCATATTTTGTACAGGAAGTCCAAAATATTTAATATTCATGAATCAATATATGGGTATTATGGCCAAAATGTTGAAAATTTGGAGTGCCTAAGAGCCGCAAAATTTTCGTTCATGCAATTTAAATTCTCATTATTGCTTGCTAAAAAAAAAGTCTTGGGTTCATTTTTCGCTAAACATTTGGGCATATGTCATCTACAAAGTCGCAATTTTCCCCTTTTGGTAGAAATGTTGACGAGTAAAAACATGCCACTCATGAATTTCATTGTAAGAATTCAAGAAAGCTACACACAGGTAAAATTTTAACGTCAATGAGATAAAAAGCTAGACTATAAAAACATACATGTTCCCTGACCGTTTTGGATCCGCGCTGTCGAGGGTCAAATTTCCATGACGTTTTTTCCGGACCAGCAAATTTCCATATACACATTTTCGAGTTCAGGGGACATTTTAAATACCGCCTGTCATAAAGTCCTCTAAGATGAGTCTAATCTAATTTTTATTGAAGAAATTAATGAAGGAGCTACCATGGAATGTCTTCAAAAAATATATTTTATAAGTTCTTTATTCTTATTCATTTTCTATCATTTGATATGCAGTAGTTATTTCACAAGGTAATTGTTCACCAGCGCACATTCAAGCCATGCATATATTCGTGTATGTTACGCTGGTGATATCCTCCACTTGTATAATAGCAATCTAGAATACTGTATTAGATTACCCCGAATAACATCAATGACCTTTCATGTATTCTTATCTAGTTTTATTTTAAAGGCGATTCATCGCAGAAAAAATTACGAATCGTATAAAGTATTGTAAATGCTTAATTGAAGGACGAACAAAGAACGGAGACAAGGATGCTATGTTGATGAAAAGCAACCTTGTATTACGAATAATGAAATCCGTCTCAATCCTCTTAAAATTCTAGCATTTCTTCAATTCATGAAGCTACGGTATATAGCATGGACAAACATACATTTTACAGTTATCAAAACAGAACAATAAATTAAAAATTACAGTATTGTAATGCACAACAATCCGAAGGAACAATAGCTCTTAAAAACAAATACAGTGTGTAGCGGTGCTTTTCAATTCCTAAATCTTTTGATGCAACAATTTTTTGAGAGGGACAAAATCATCATTTATCAATTGGCAAGCAAGTTTATATATACACACACAGCAGCCCATGTACTGCTATAAAATTGATGTTCACACATAAATTACCGAGATTTTTGGTCAAATGCGCTTCAAGCGCAATTATTCTTTCCCTAAGCGTTTGATGAATACAGGACGATGTTCGGTTTCCGACACGCTGACACAGCAAAGGAAAGCAGACGAATTAATTACAAGTTTGTTAATTGTATTATACACATCTCACACGCTTCGATCGGTCATCAAAGATTTCTACGCCAGCGCCATATACCGTATTGTACAGGGTCGCGTGATGAAGAAATCACTTCTATCTCAAGATTGCCCATTCCTTCATTGAATCCCGGTAAACATGCTTCCGAAACTTCCACAGTTGTATACAGCATTTCTCATTCATGCGCACGAATGATCTCGCGAATTTGCGCATCTGATGAGAAGTACTGTACGTCGCAACTCTCGCAAGAAGGAATTCTTTGGATCAAGAGCTTCGCGTGTAAGTTTTGAGACCAACCAAAATAAATTAATCGGGGCGGATTTCTATTTGGAAACACATCAGGAGATCGCGATCACATTACCTCATCTTTCAAGGACACATCAGTGCCATTTGATACGATTTCAAGACATTCAAATGAACCTTCGAAATGAGATATTGAATACTTCAATGGCTATTACAGGGGTGTTCTGAACTCCACGCGCCTTCACGGAAATGAAGGCAACAACATTTTTCCCACACAATCCCTTCACACATCTCTTGAAAAATTTTTGATGATTTTTCAACATCTCTGCCAGTTGAAAATACAGTACTTGATGTTATTTTCTGGACGAACCTGAATTAAATCCTCTCTTGACCGATCAACGGAATAGAAAACCATCAAAGAATACTGATCTGGAATTCTTCATGGTTACTCTCAGATTCCAAACACGCATTCGATAACCATCATTAATACTGTATCACAATATCGGATGAACAGAAAAGATTATTAAACTGTGCTTGCAGTTGGAGATTCATTTTCTTCTTCCCCTTCTTGCATACGATACGATTTAATAAAAGGAGGAAGACCCCCATTCTCAAGCCCGATTTTAAGCCTTCCGACAAAAGTTTTCTTTTCCAACAATTTACTACTTCTCAGCTACAAAATGAAACTGAAGGAAGATCCCAATTTCATCAGAAAGGGATCCCCAGAAACTGATTTTAACCTTGAATAACTTCAAAGAAGCATTTTCCAACTATTGAATGGGTCAAGACTACCATCAAGAAAACCAAGAAATGCACTGAAATTAGCGGAAGGCAAGTCGAAAAATAATTCAAGAGATCAATAAAGACCATGGTGAGAAAATAATACCAGTCCATTTTGATTTATTTTCTTGCGCTGGCGTGCGGAACCTCATCCCTCTGGTGTGCATGTGTGCATCTGGGACACGCAATTCAAGCTCTTCTACTTTATGCCTGGCCGGGCAAAAATATTCTCCAACATCGAAGGATAAGATGAAAAATGAATAGAAATCGCGACCGTCTCCAGCAATGGCATCAAGTCTACGATTCTCAAAGCCAAGGGGGAAAAAAGATAAACAAGAAATATGCGCCAGAGTTCATCTCACACTGCATTTCTCCCCCGGAGGAAATCGTGACGTCACTCACATACTCGCACTTCCTCTGAATCAGTCGCATCTAGATATCTGCTTCAGCGGCACAGACGGCATCGCTACCACGCATTTCGTTCAGCAAAAAAAAAAAAAACTTTCTAAAACTTGATACCAATTTTTCAACAGACTAACGCGTTATCGACTCGATAAAAAACATAACACTGATCATCGGCACGGAATACAAAGCTTGAACCCCAGGAAAGCTTCCCACGTAGTACCGCTCCCTTCATAATACACCAGGACGCTGCACCACTTCTTCATGCTCGGGAATGGTCTATATAAAAGTCGAAGCACGGAATCGGATCGTACAAAACGCATCTCTACGCAACACGAAAAAGTAACACGAGAGAACGTAATGCTTGATTGAACCAATCGATGAAAAAAAGGCAAAAAAAAAAAACTTTTGGCAGGCGCAATCGAGACACGATGAGCGAAGTGCGAAGACGATCGCGAGGTAGATCAGGACGATCGCGATTCCTGGTCTGCAAACTTCACTTTTTTTTTTCATGAGGCGAATCACGTAACTTTCGTCAAACCATTCTTCAGAAAATGTGTTTCCTCCGTCAGAACGCAAGAAAGGGAACTTCAGAAGTAGATGAGAGAAAAGGAAGAAGCTGTGGAAAAAAAGAAGGGATTCGGAAGATGACAGGCCGAACGAAATTCAATTTTCGAGTCTGTCAACGGGCGGCTTCCAATTGCGAAGAGGCACTGGCACCTGCTTCCTGCACGCTTTGCACCTCACCAATCTGCTGGTCCCCTTCCGACTTTTCTTCCATCGAAGAGTCCGGTTCTTCCACCGCGGGCGATTGAGCTTCCCTGTGAAACAAAGCATGTTCAGTACAAGAAAGTTCCACGCTCAACATTCAGAAAAATATTCAAGATGTCCGAAACTCCGTTCATTACTAAAGTTGATGTACACGTCACCGGAATCCAGTTTCATTTCATTTGGTGCCAGTTAAAATAATAAAGTTAATACAGCACTGTATAGCTTCGTTTGGATTTATCACGAGCTTCTTGAGATACAGTAGTTGAGTCGGGTGCTTCCATAAACTACGGTATTCTACGGCAATACACGGCTTCCAGCGAGATCCACTCGACACTTCGGACAACGCGACCGGGCGTGGAAGTGAATACAGTATATGCGCAAGTGGATTTAAAACTACTGTACAATGCACATCTTCATGCCGTAATTTGAAGAATTTTCAGAAAATGGAACGGTGTGTGAAGAATATGTGAGCGATTCTCAGAAGAATGCAGTTTACACGAAGACAATACTCGATGCAGTCCTTTCCCAATTAAAAAAAGGTGCCAAAAAATGATGCGTTGTACAGTACTTTGCATGTACAGTACATGTACTGTAAACGCAAAGTGAAAGCCTGAAGAGACCAGGGGATGGTTGGAAGACCTCAAGAAGAGATGTGTGAGATAACCTCATCCCAAATGACATGGAGTAAGATCTTGTTACAACAAATATCTCAGCAAAAAATGTTTCTGTACTGTATAACAAACTTTCTTCCAAGTCCCAGCTTATCTTGCAGGGTAGATATTATAAAAATCTTCTTACAACAAACCCTCAGCACAAACACGTTTTCTGAGGAATATGTTGTGATTTTCCTTACAAAAACCCCAATGAAGGCAGTCACAGTGTCAAATTTCTCATTCAAAATGTGACTGTGACTGGTTCTTGGATATAAATGGAAGGTGAAATCAAGGAAAACAAATTCTTCAGAATTCACCTAAACATCCTCTCTTTCAAAAAACTAAAACTTGCCCAGGCTAGGAAAAGGGGGGGGGGGGGGGGGGGAGGGGGGGAAAAAAAAAAACAGAAATTGTCCCTGGGGGGGGGGGGGGGCGGCTAGATGAAAAAAAAAATGAACCCAGCAAAACTGGTGTTAAACGGGGTTTTTGGTGCTTGAGAAACCCTACCAATGCTAACAACTCTAAGCTTTTTGGGAACATCCACCTTTACAATCTGTAAAGGCTTTGCTCAGAAAAACTTAAAAGTCCAAAAAAACAGTCAGTGTTTACCTGTTATTCAGAATAAATGTTTCTTATTGACATTTGCATTTCCTTTTTGAAGATCAGTTTTTCAAACTTGGGAAAATATCTGAAAAGGCCAGAAAATGAAGATCTTCAATACACGCAGGTTCAATTTAAAAATATCTTTCCGGTCAATAATTTTGAACACCTCATTATAACGGATTAATCGCTGAAACAAAATGTTTCTGGAGTCCCCAAAAGTTTGTTGTAATGAGATTTTACTGTAACATTTCCATACTGTAGTTACGTGCAGTGGCTGAGTAGAGTACACCCGAGTTGTTGGGTGATATCACCGAGAAAAGGAGAGCGGTTCATGAATTCTGAATCGAGAACGATACGAAGAAAACTACGCGGACATCCGACTGATGATTGTTTCCTCGGAAGGTTTCAACAAATTGGCCACTCTTCTGCAACTTAAACCTGAGCACTTTTTGCAGGCATTCATTTCCAAAAGAAGGGCGAGAAAATAGGAAGCAATTGAAAGTTGCAGAGCAAAATGCTGTGATGAGCGTGGTGATAAAGATAGGCTTTTCGTCAGAAGCATAGGCAGAAAAACGCGGATTCAAAAATAAATTCCCTACACCGAAAAAGAAGTTGTTGAAAATTGAACGAATAACACAGTTCCGGAAGCACATCAACAACCCCGGAGATGGGACCATAATGTCACTCACGAGTCAGACACCGTCGCTGCTGTTTGAGCATCATTTACATCTTCCGAAGGCTGCAATTCTTGAGTCACGGTGTTGTCCACATCTACACAGAAAAGGCAAGCAATACCGAATTAGAAACAGCACATAATTTACCGTTCATACATATTTTTCTGAGCGGTACAATGTTCTTTAATGCACTAAAAACGTCGGAAGTTCACGCGAGACCGACATTTCCGGCCTTCCTTTAAAAGTTTAAATTATCGACGCGAAGAACCTCGTGTTGAAAAATTATCGCGTAACGCACCCATCTTTCGAAACTTCATTGAGCGTTTCCTTGAAATTTTCTATAAGTGGAAGTAAATAACACAAATGAGTTACAGCGAAAAAATTGGAAGCGTTCTACGGCTGAAAAAATTATTCAAATTTTGATCTAACAAAGCGTACTAAGCATTTAAATCCCCTCAAACGTTCATCAGAGAAAGGTTTTTCGAGTGGTTGTATGCGTGACACTTGCCAGAATGGACGCTGAATCTTTCAAGCATTTTAGGTTGAATATGAAGCATCAGATTCGCCCGAGTGCAAAGCACACTTGGTTTCCCACGTAAATTGAGACAAAAAATCAGGTACACGCCTTACTCAGGTATGAATTTATCTTTACTCGTTTTTTGCAGGACGAACTAAAAAAAAAATCTGTTCGCATCATACTCAAGTACAACCTCGACTGTAATGAAAAGTTGAACCATCATCCCATACAATACTCCTGATGAAAAATTAAACCGCACAGATGCAACAATCTATCTCACGCACTGTATACACGAAAGGCTTTTTCTTTCAACGCATTGTTCTCAGGACCATTTGAAGTACTGTAAATATGAAAGGGGTACAGTAATTAAATATAATTCCTGGAATTTCAGCAAAAATTTTTCAAAAAATACGACTTCCTCCTGATATAAATTTTCGAAGTGATTCGATTGCAACTGAGATGCACAATAAACCTAACCGAAGCACATTTTCAATCTATTGCTGCATTTGGTCTGCAAGTATAATTCGAAGCAGTAAAAGTGACATTGAAAACATCAAGCCCCTCAAGCCCTGTTGTAACTACTGTAAATCAATACAGTATTGCACCCAGGAAAATGTGCTTTTTTGGAAGCGTTGTAATTTGAAAAAAAAAAAATGAAAAAAAAAATCCACGCTCCAGACGGCCACAGACAAACAAAACTTAATTTTCAGGATTACCAAGAAAATTTTTATTTCAGAGACAGGAACGTCGAGACCGAGACAATATGTTTTGAATATTTTCTTCTTCCTCGAATACATGTGGAGTAGTGCGGTGGATTGGTTTGGAGGAAAGGAAATACAGAAGGGAAAAAAGGCAGCACAGAAAAACTTTTTCAAAAGAAGATTCTGCCACGCACGGATTTCCTCAGAGAGGAAATCCGCGAAACTTGCAAGGGTTCAAGTCTGAAATCCGATACACCAGGGTAAACAAAAATAAAGCCCATTTTCTGCACATATTCCTTCACTAATCACTACAAACACAAATGCATTTTATTAAAATTATTCTTTGTCTACAATTCGGCGAGTGTCAGCACTTTTTCCTAACTCAGTTGTTCCAAGTCAGTAAACCAAGCTTTCATGATTCCTGCATCAACAGCAGATATTTCCAAAATATGCGATCTCCTCGAAAAATTTCGACATGCATTTTTAGATAAGTGGATTGCAAAATTTGAGCCCGCCGCTCCTTGACAGGCCAAGCCATTATCATTTTCCCCCGACAATTAACCGAAGTTGACACGATCTTCAAGGCAACGTAAGTTCTTTCGAAGTACCCGAAACATTCCTCAAAAATGTGGTCACGATCGCGGCCATAAGCGTAAAAAAAATGAAGCTACGTGCTACGCCGATTTCGTTCTATTTTCATGGAGCTCATACAATACAGTACAGTACTGCACTGTAAATGACCTTGCGAAACAGTTTTCGTGAGAAAATTAAAATTCTAGAACCACCATGAAGCACAGCACAGCAATGCTAATGGACTGGATGTGCAAATCGATGTACTGTAGTGTACAGTAATCAATTCCGAAATTAGGAATCTGCCATTACGCGGTGATCCAGTATAAAATAAAACGAATGTAACAACAATCCACTCTCCCAGGAATCTGAAAAAAAAAGTCTCACGCAAATTCTCATAAAAAATCCTTCTCCGAGTCGGAAAGACTTCCGAGATTATCGCCGCTGATAACTAATTCAGACGTAACTCTCTGCGACAAAGAAGAACGGGACGAAGAAGGTGTGACCAGAAAGCACACCAAATGTTCCGATTGAAATGCTACACTTAGGATGCGCAACTTCACGACACTGGATGGTTTCAAGAAATTCAGTGATCCTAGGAATGCATCACAAACTCAGAAGTTCTCCGCAAAAACGAAAAGTCAGAAAATTCGGAATTCAATGATTTTTCAGTAGTGATCTTGAAGGCCAGAAAATTTCTGAGAATCGTTCAACGACATTAAGAATTTTAAGATTCACAAAAGTTTACCGAATTAAATATTAGCATTCAACCATTTGGATGGCGAACAAAATACGTCTCCCGTATTGCCGAAGTGTAGAACCTTTGTCTTACTATCGCCAGTCCGCGGGTTTCGAAGATTCAAGTAGTGTACATGCCACACCACTTCAAAATTCTAAGAAGTTCGTCAAAAAAAGATAGCTTCTTATTTTTGAACTTTAATTTCAGGGACAAACTCTGACTTGATCAAAAGCTCACTGGTAAAAACAATTTTTTTTTCACTTTTGCCCTTGGTATATTGGTCATAAATCGGAAAGTGCGACACTCAACAGCGGATTATTTAAAGAAACATTTACCATTACCTGTGCCATCAAACTCGTTTTTCCAACAGTAACACATCTTCAGAAGAAAGATCAACGAATCGCCATTCTCCTGAATTATGCGTTTACTCGAGGCACATAAAAAAATCTTTCGCACTGAGTGTGCTTCTCAGCTTGCTCTGATAATTACCATAAGCATGGAACACAATGAATTATCTCAGCATTTATCATCCGAAGTACTGAACTCCGTGGCTGAATGAAATCCCTTCGGCACGTAAACTTCCGCGCGGAGCGAACGACACGGGTCTGCTGACTCGGTATTAACCTCGGTAGCGGTGTTTCCAAAATCATTCGAAGTCGTTGAAACGAAACGCGAGGTACTGATTATTTCGCTGCGTGCTGCTGCACACACTAACGAAGAGAACGAAAACGTGACGAAGTTTTCCATAGACGCGGGCACCAGAATTTCGAATTCTGCTTTATCAAACAGAACGCGCCAAAAGGTATTTATTCAAGCTGATGCGACTCAACTTCGACAAGCAAACTTCGAAAAATAGGGGATTTATGACCGCAAGGAGGCACTTGATTTGATTAAATTCAATCTAGATTAATTTTCGCACAGAAAACCAAATTATTCTCGCATTTCAGTCAACATTCGGTTCTACAAATTTCGATTTCAGGATGGTGAAATCCGGTTACACAATATTTACCTTCTTATAAAAAAATGCAAAAGTTCTTCAAATAAAGCTATTAAAATTTAAAAATCAATAAAATTACAATATTCGATCCAATTGAAAGGAACATCTCGAAAAACTATTTCCGTTTTTGCGGGATAATCCTTTGCTTTCAACAATAATTTTTCTGCAACTCCGTTACTAGTACTCCTAGGTTTCTCAGTTATCTATTCATCTTCCTCTACAGTGAATTTACATCGATTTCATGTTCACTAGAAGTTTTCTCTTCAGTAGCTTTCATCAATGCTATAGCCCTATTTGAGAGCGATCAGCAGTTGTGAGCATAGCCACGCTAAATATTACCTCTTCATTCATTTTTTTTGGGAATGACGAATACCCCAGAAGTCAGAAAAGATTAAATTTGATCTTCTACTGCAGAAACTTTGCAGAGACGTGTACAAAAGAGATCAGCATATTACTGTAATCTACTTCATTTCTAGACCAATCTCTTCTCAAACCAAAAATACGCAGATGGAATCGGACAGTCACGTTTCACTGAACCTTTATGAAAATATGGAAGTATTTTCGAAACTTCTGAGGAACTCCTGATATGTACCAGGAAACATTTTGAACGGACTTGAAACTTGTAGCCCTAAAGCTGCAGATTGAAAACAAAAAAATTGCTAGTCCGCAATATTTACGAGTTCATTCACACAAAAAGGTCCAGGAGCATAGCTTCCGAACATTTTCACCGGAACATTTGAGCACACGAAGTACCACTCGACTGATTTTCAATCATCACTCAAGTAGTACTCCACACCAACAGAAAATGCAAACAAATAAGGTAAATATTCCTACACAAACTGAAGCTCCTTTTTTTGATTATTAGCTGCACATTTCATTACCAAATACGCAAGAATTCGAACTCCATGGGTGAACATGGAGAAAATAAAATATTTTAGGGAGACTTTATTTCCAAGTTTTCCCACGGATGCCATTTGAATGACTCCAGATTCACGGTATCCTCGAACTCATTCTCCAATCATCACACAGCCTAGCATAAAAATTAGTCTCACTAAAGAGCTCTTTTGAAATTCGGCCGGTATATAATAGTGCTGTACTGAACCAGGGAAGCTTTCGCTTCTGTCCTTGTTTCCATCAACCGAAAGACCGAGAATTACGAAAAATGAAACAATCATCAAAATGAAGTCAAAGGGGCTTTCCGATGAAAACTAAAAACATCAACCGATCGAACGACTCGAACGTATTTCGAGAAAAATATTACTTAACAGAGTTCCAGAAAAATCTTACTGACCAGTACTCCATGAAATCGTGGACTTGGTGTCCGAGCCTTCGAACACGCTGAAATCTGCCCAACCTTTCGAATCGCCTCCGACTGGATCTGCTCCAGATGCACCCCAGGGGTCGTCTCCCAAATTACTCTTCTCTTCGTTTTTCCAAATACTTTCAGCATTGCCACAGCTCTGGCTCCACGGAGTTTGTACAGGATTTGCGAAAAAAGCATTCACAGAGTTCCACAAAACAGCGTCGACTTTCGAGGCTTCCTGTTCGTCCTCGTCCGAATCTCGACTAAGGTCTTCTCGGCCTTTGCACATCATTTCAAACTGATACCGACGAGTGTCCTGTTCATCATCATCTTCCAGACTTAAAAAAAAATTGAAAATATTCTTTTATCAGTATCCGACTTATTTACATCCGCCGAATAGATAGAATTCGCGTTGAATGAAATCAACAACAACAACTAAAGAAATTGCTACAATAAACAACAAATGTTTTCCTATCAAATTGGGAAAAAAATCGTTTTGATGAAGCCCTTCGGATATTTACGTCACAAATCTGAAATCGCAGATTAGTACTGCACCCATCCAAAAATTTTCTGAATTAGAGAAAGCAACAAAATACAGAACAGTACTGTAGCATATAGAATTTTATATCAAACAAAACTCAACCGCGCAGTGGAATTTTAAAATCTGGATGATGGATTTTCCTGCTTAATATCCATCATTTTTCAGAAAGATGACACTGACAGTAAGACAAGCATAATCAATTTACACTGATTAATCCACTTTGGCAACTTTCGTGTGCACAAATATCGCTGAAGCATCTCACAAGCATTTTCTGAGGTACGAGCAAGATCATAATCAAAAAAAGAAAAATTTCTATGCTCCTGTATTTTAAGTAATTCCTTTCCAAACGTCGAACATTTTTTACCTGATTTTTGCCTTCTTTTTATGCTAATCAGGCAACATTTATAGTATTTCTGGTTGTCTGTTCGAAAATAGAAATGCAGTATAGCCTCTCTTCACGGTTACTTTCTCAATGAAGAAAAATCCTACACCAACTCAACAAGGGAAGGTTTTTACTAAAATTGCGTTAGAATTCAACCAATAGCTCATCTCTGATTTTTCCTGCCCTACATTTTGCATCTGACAAATACGACGTCCGTGAACAGATAATGAAATTAATTACGTGTTGTCTACAGGAACATCTACAGAATTGGCAGCCCAATCCTCGACTAAGAAACCTCTTAACCAGTGATTGACGACTCACTTGATTCCGCCGACGCCCTCGCTGCTCAAGCCTGTTCCAAAAACTAGCCCGAATCCTTGACATACGGAAGGGTTGCGATCATCCGAGAGTGTGTGCACCCAATCAGTGATCCTCTGCATGAGAAAAACAAATTCATCGTAAGACCCTCTATAAAATGAACTACAGTACCTGTACACTGAATGAAACAACGCGATCATAATTGGAAAAAATTTACTTACATCTGGTATCACATTGTCATCATCTTCGACAGAAGCTTTAACGTCACCATCCCCACATCCAGAATTATCCGTTTCAACAGCAGAACTGTCATTGTATTCATTTGGGCTCTTCAAAGAGAGAAAAAAACACGTATAACTCAACAATGACAGAAAACAGCAAAAAACTCATTGCTTACCGGCATTAGAGTGTACGACGTTTTCAGCAATGCGGGCACTTTCTTGTTGACTAGTTCAAGCCAGTTATGTAAGTCTTCTTCTGTCATGTGCGACTCGGCTTCACGTATCAAAGCAACAAGCCTTCGATCAGAATCACTCATTTCAGCGGAGGGCGTTCTTGCACCATCGAACATTTGAATTATGTTCACCAAATGTCCCATGTATCCTCGCTTCATGAGTTTACTGAAAAGATTTGTATCATATGAGGATAACGGCGACATTACAGCTACCGTATTCCCGCGAAGACGCAATTTTTTCTAACTCTAAAGTCTAAACACATGGCATCAGAACGAATCAGAAGCAAATATGATCCATGGCTTCTCGGATTCGCACGTAAAATGCAATATTTTGTGGAATGGTTGAAACATTTTCATCTAAGTCACTGGACATCTTCCTACCGCTGAGGATAATTTCAAAGCTAACTTCGAACTCAACAGCAAAATCTGACGATTTCAACTGCACAAGTGAGGAAACATCAAGCAAACTTCTGCTGAGCTTGATTGTGGCAAAATAACACGGAAGTCATAATGTTGACAAAAACTAATGTCAGCCTACTCGCAGTACCTCATTGCAACGAAATTTGCCTGAGATATGTGATCGGAAATTCGTCGCACCTTCCCTACAACCTCGTACAGAATTTCTTCCATTTTTTAAGCAGTTTCCAGCGTCTTAGATTCACGACGAGACGATCATTTGCAAATTGCAAGGGTTAAACACGCTGGTGCAAATTACACTCGATGACAAAAAAATTCATGCGATTACTGTCAACGATGCAAAATGCATATCGTCTGCCATATGATTGTCGCAAAAGTTTTCGTCTTTTCCTCACTTTTTCTCTTTCTTGAACATTTTTATATTCGGAGCGCACAACCCACACATTGAAAACGCGAGAAGTTTGACACGAAAATCCCTACTTTTTGCGGTCTTCCTCGTCACGGCTCCACTCTCGTGTTATCAATGTGAGAAGGTCTATATCTCTGAGGAGATGTACCAGGAGTGGATCAAGTAGTTCCAGATCCCTAGAAGTCAACTCGTGCTCGCTTGCTTCTCTTCCGCTTCCTCCAGGCTCTTCTACGGACGTGTTGTCTCGTGGAGAATCAGGAGTAACGGCATTCTCACTGTTCTCAGGCGATTCCTTCTCGCTGAAACTTGAAAGCTCCACAATTTTGGTTTTTGGACTATCTTCGGTGCTCAGTAAATGAAGAACGCAGTCTACTACTTGTCTGTGGAGGAAGTTGTTCCATTGATACGCAAAAAATAGATCCTGTGAGAAAACAGTCATTAAACGGTCTGCTGAACGGGCAAAGCACTCAGTTTAAACTCACGAAGAGAACTCGAAGGGTTCCGAGCTCAACAAGCTGCGTGCTGACAGGCCTATACTTCAGCATAATCAAGGAAGTGACGAGATTGGCTATTTGCAGTCTTACAGACCCTAAAGGGGGATCTAAAACGCCGACGGTCGTTCTGACGGCTTCACGGATAGGGGGATTCAGTAAGATACGATGAATGTCACTGAGCCACGGAAGTAGAGCTTCAACAACATTGCGAACACCGCATGGAATCCGGGATAATCCACTCTCGTCACTATCCGTACTCCGAGCATCTCCTCTCATACCATTATCGTCCCTGCTAGAAAACGGAGGACTGTTGGAATCCCCACGATCATGTGTTTCTGTCTGATCTTCACCATTGCTTCCAACGGCAGTTCTATTCAGATGAAACGAAGACGTACCACCGCTCGAAATACACAAATTACGTCGCAGACTCACTTCTTCGATGCAATTAGAGCAATGAGAACTTTGATTCCATAATATACAGCCGACTCAGATCTTTCTGACGTCCCGAGCATGTGACGCAACATGAGTTCGAGTGTTGTTTTCCTATTCCAAACACAATGCATGCGAATTCATCCGTGGAAGAGAACGTAATTATCTACTTACGATTCGAGCTGCTTTAGGAAGGTAAACTGAGCTGAGGAATCGGCGTCCGCATTGTTCATCACATGATTCGGGGAAGGACCCGGAATAGTTCGTGTAACAGTAGCGTCTCCACGACAGACGCCGATCATATCACAGAGGAGCTGAGCCACGTTAACATGTACTTCTTTCGACACGGAAGCATCAAAGCACGACACCAATCGCTCCACAAGTTGCTGCTCACACAGCCACTGCGTGAATTTAACCCTCAGTTCTGAGCCCTCTATGTAGACCATCAGCTTCAGCAGGACATCCATGATTGCGGACGTACCCATATGACTGATCAAGGATTGAACGAATCCTTCGCGCGCTTGGATGAATTCGAAGAAATGCAGACATGCGAGCTGATAGGAAAACCAATTCTAAAAAGTAAAAATAATCCATGAATTATAAGTACATTATCACACAGGAATTCATTCCTTAACGGCTCACCTCATCTGTTTTCCTTGTGATCATGGTCACGAGTGTGCGTGAGAAAAAGCTGGCCATAAGAGGATTGAGGGGAGGTTCTTTCTCGATAAAACCGCAAAGCTTTTCTAGCAAAGCAGTGCTGTCCGCTAGTTTCTCATTGATCAAAGGCACATCACAGGTCAGCAATTCGCAGGCCACATTTGGATATTTGTACCTAGATACCTCGTCCACATCTTCCGCAGGTTCTTCTGATATGTAATCCACAAGAGCGTCCAGATTTTCTGGTCTCACCAAACTATAACCGAGTGAGGACATTATAGTATTGGAAATTCGGATCATCAAGAATTGAGATATACGAACAATTCTACTAGGGCCGAATTTCTTCCTTGACATTCTTGTATGATGTCATTTTCATCCATAAGCTCCTGCAAGGTAACATCCTCCTTCTGAAGTAAACTGTCGATTTTCGACTGATTCGCGTAATTATATTTGAAGAACATCACGCTTAACTGCTGCCGGCGAAAAAACATCGAGATTACGAGAAATTCTGGTTTATTTTGATCGTCACACACACTGAATTTCATCCGAATCCCAGAGTCGGTAATTACACTCGGAAGTACAGTACGCACCGCATTTAACTCCAACTATACTCACGGGCCTATACACTATACAATAAGGTTCGTACTTATTCGTAAACCTCAAATGCCCGTGTGACAAGACTTCATGTTGAATTCATCCGGGCGCAGCATCGTCTCACAGGTTGCGGGACTTCTTAGGGATGCACTAAAATTGCACCAGCACAGAATCACTGTTTTCCTGCATCACCCCTCCACATTACAATATTTAGTAAGGATTCGTAATAAAGTCTTCCGCCAGGGCACTATTTTACACAGAGTCTTTATTTGCACAAACTCCGTTCAGATGGCAGGAACACTATCACAAAGTCAAGTCACACAATAAAAACAGTAGACGTCTCCTCCGATCAAGATTGCCATCTTCCTGCTGGGCAAGCTTGGGGTGGGCAAATGATTAGAGTATGGAGGTTTCTAGTTTGTAGAAGTAGATGTCGCTCTAAGGGATTCCGATAGGGAGCCCTTACTATTTTGAAACTGTGACGCGACGTTACGGAACAACTTATACTCAACGCCACTCCATTCAGGGCTACGTCTTCCACGCCACTTCTAGGAGCGCCAGTCTCTCATTGAATGACTTCAACTGCAATGGTTTGGTGGTGTAAAATTTATTGGGAGACTCCAAGGGACAAATAGCAGTGCGCACACAAAAACACATTTTTAAAATAAATAAAATATATTATCTAGGGAAACTCGGATGGACCAATAATAGTGTAAATATTAAAAAAACTATTTTCAAAATAAATCAATAAATTTTAATATCCATTAATAACATTGCACGAATTATGTGAATAAAAAGTTCAAGAACATTTAGTACCTCATTCTGTATGTACAGTTATGGTTTTTAATATTCTTCAAATAGCCTTGATACTGTTTGAATGTACGTATGTACAGCAGAATCTCATTGATGTACAACAAACTCCCAAGGACCATTAAAAAATTAATTATAACAAAAAATGTGTTATATTGAGATTTATGTAATTATTTGCATAAACAACATTTTAACGTGTGAACAAGCATTTTATTGCTTGAAATTGTCATTGATTTCACTCTGTGCAATTTTCTTTGCCACAGAATTCACTAAGACATCTCCCACTTGCTTTAGGAACTTGAAAATATGATCATTTTGCTAAGATTTTTGAAAACTTTTAATGAATTTAACAATTTAAAATAAAACTCAACACAAATAAGAGCATTAGAGTACAATTAATCAATTTTGGTGGCTCTTCAAGTTCCAGCTCCAAGTTTCCACTACACTTCTAGACTCCTTAGACAATAATAGATCAATTAATCAGGGTACATTATTTCATGAGGTTCCTGCTGTCCATTAAATTAAAAATTGTAGTTAAAAAAAAGATAAAAATTGTAACCTATTTTTATCTTCCTGTTTTTTTATAACTCTGAGACTATTCCTGTCCACCATACACTGATGAGCCCCAGGAAACAGGGTACAGTATTTTACAAACGTTCAGTAAAGAAAAATTCAAAAATCAGGGCAACAATTGGAAAAATTATGGGAACATTAAAAAAAAGGTAACAAAAATTTGTTGTAACCAGAGAGCTTGTAAAATATTAATTTGTTAAAAAAAGATTAATTTAAACTACACCTTAAAGGGTAACTGCCAGGACCTTAAAAAATTTGTTGTAGGCGAAAATTCATTATAAACAGATTCTACTGTATTTATTTTAACCGTGTTTATATCAGTCCAATACTCTAAATAAATAAATATACCGTATTTAAATATATATACTGTATACATACTAAGCGGTATCCCTGCAAGCTGCTGCCGGTCGGTGGTGGCAAAACCGCTTGATTCTCTTTTCCATTGCTTTTGAAACTGATTACTCTTACTATTTAAAATGATAATGTCACTATACTGAACAGTACAGTCATATACTGCCATTGGATACTGCAGTCAATGATCTTAATCAAATTAGCAGGGATATATGTTCACATAAAAATTTGTACAGTACTCTTTTCGTTCAACTTTCAGCTTCGATTGTTTTCTACTTTTCTGCATATAACTCTGCAACAAATGATTGAAAATATGCGATTTCTAGGTCTAATGCAGTTAAAAAATTTGAATTGCATCATCAACACACAAGATGTCCCTCACTGTTAAATAACCATTATTATTCTTCGTTCATATAATTACACTTACCATTGCCAGGTAAAAATATAAGGAAGCCATTCGAAATTGATCAGAAATTTACGCGTCAATCATACCAAAAATACAGAACTCAGGAGATTGATAAATTAAGGTTTCTAAATACACATCTACCCATGACAGACCATTCCTTCATGTAACCAGATATGGTAAAATGCAAACTTTTCATACTTTTAGTTCTGGAATGCCTTCCAGGGTGATGCATTCATTAGAATTAAATAATTTACCAAGAAATTAAACGTTGCTTTAAAATCGCCGCATACCTGTTCATACATTTTATCTGCAGATGTGGACCGTTTCAACAAGTGGGCACCCTGTCTGAACTCTTAAGTAAAGAAGGCCCGATTCTGGCATGGGTTTGCACTACTCAGTAAGCCAATCAATACATTATTGAGCATTTCCTGCTCGTACCCACCAAAGACTTTCACAATTACCTGTGAGCTACATAGCATCAGAAGATGAAGTTCAATAACTAGAGCTCAGCTGACACATTTAAGGCAACTGTGAGAAACTGGGAACATAAATTACACAAGATACTGCAGTAATGAAACTAACAGTAAATCAAGCAAATTCAGTATTTAATAAGCTCGTCGTATTTGTATGCATCAACTGCAAATGTGGTGATAAGTCCGGGCTAGCACACATGCAGCTTAGTTCACGGTCGGTTAGAAAAATGACGTTCATATATAGTTTATATACTGTACAGTATATATATATATATATATCTTTTTTTTAATTCTCAACGAATTTTTCACGCAGTTACCCTAACAAAAAATAAGCAGCGTTAATAACGAAGATGACTAAATTCAAACAGGACATAGATTTTTTTCTGAGTGAATTGTTTTCCGGAGTCAAAAGAGACGAGAAGTGCTGGCTTCCCGGGTACCTTCAAAAGCCAAGGGAAAATACGGAACTTTCTGCATACATAGCCAGGTTATCCCGGATCCGACATGAATTGAACAATCACGCAAAAATATCGCGTCAGCTGAACACACGGTTGATTTCCTCCCAACACCTGGAAATGGTCTTTTGCACGGATTTCGCTCCGCTTCGGACTGCCCCGCCCTCATCGAAGCTCTGCAAGCGATTCTCTCTGTTCTTCGAATTATATGTCCGAAACGTAAATACTGTAAGTGACATTACAGGCATGCTCTCCTTGCTTGTAATGTCGCAGCAATTCACTAGGGACAATCCTGGAACGAACATAGGATGCAGTAAATCGATCCGCTAGATGCATTTCTAAGGTGCTTCAGAAATGCAAGGATATCACACAAGCGACGGAAAAGTTCCTTGAGATTCGATTCATTGAACCCTCAATATATTAATTACAAAAGAATGTTTCCACACCGTCATCGTTCAGAGATGTACATAAATAGGCTCCTAACCAAGTGCACTTCGCAGACAATCATCTTCAATAACTTGCAGCCACGATCATCATCAAGCGATCACTTTCGTATCACAGTTATTCCATACAGGAACGCGCGATGCAAGAAGACGTAAAAGAACATGCGTCCAGCACGACCCTCACCGAACGTGCCATTTTTTTCCCGAAGGTCTTGCGGGAAGAGTGAAATTAATTACTGCCACGCAGTCACAATCCTCAGTACATCGTCGAGCAAAAACCCGTATCATAGGACTTTCTACTCAGAGTCATAAGGATAGACTGTCTTTTCATTGGACAAAAGCCGTTTCAAAGAAACCCAAATTTTCATGACAGCGTTCACTTACTTCCACTAATTCTGATAATTTCTAAACCTTATTCTCAGCTGAATGCCGAAATGTCCCGAAAATCGACATAAGATATTTTTCATATGATTGAAAGAAATTCCTCGAAGATAGATTCGCATGAAATCACAATTCGCTTCGTAAGACGAATATTTCAGCCCCATGATCAGGTGTTAACGGGATTACAACAAAATAAAACAACCCATCCCGACACTAAACGAACTCAACCACCTTGATGAAACGTGACATCACTTGACAAGATTCAAACGACGCCTGTCTGAAATAAACAAATAAAAAAATTCAAGGACGTCGACAGATGAAGCGAAAAAAAAAACCCTGAAATGTTCTGAAACACCGGAGTCCGCCCGAACAGGCAGAATGTAACCTCCCCTTAAAAGAACCCACCATCGTTTCACAGCACTCGATGAAGTCTTCGGTTCGGATTGAATTTCATCAGTTAAAAAGCACAATATTTCCTTAAGCAACTTGGTGAAATCAAAACGAGATACGGTTGACGACTTAAGCAGAAACAATCGGCGGTTACCTAAAGGTTCATTCGCGTCATCTCCGGCATCGTTCCTTCAGATGGCGTGCCCGAGGAGATTGAAAATCCTGAGACCGTAAACAAACACTTAGCCTAAATTTTATACCGTTCAATTAAATTCATGAACCTGAGCCGGTATCGTGGGATTGCGACACACGAGAAAAAGGCGCACTCATGAAACTAAAAATTTCTCCAGCATCACAAATATCGATCAAATAAAGAAAACTGAGTTGCGAGGAAAACTTGCGACCGACGTAAGTCCCTGTCAAGAGGAAGAATGCAAAACGGTGGGATCGGGCGGTTCAAACCTCCAAAGCTTTGGAATCGGCATTCTGGAGAAATAAAAATTTTTCCTCTTCTTCATCGTCTTCGCTTGGGTACTCAATTTGCCTAGCTCGCTGGTCCTCGCCACCAGTGGGTTTCTTGAAATCTAAAAGAACGCATTTAAAGATGATCACGTCTAAATCTAGAACCCGGTCCGCTTACTGGCGAATTCCAACATTTCATCGATGTCTTCTTCATCAGAGTCGTCGATGTACGAGCTCTTACTGTTGAGCTGGTGAAATCCTGCTTCACGCCGCGCCTTTCGGCAATTCTGACGTTTTTGATGCATGAAAATCACGACACCGATCACCAGAATCATTATCATACCTGCGAAAAAAAAAAATTACACACTCAAATAAACGCGTGATCAGCAGATGATAAAATACAGTGATTTCTCCCCGAAGTAACGCAACAGTATCAAGAATCAGACAGCGTAAGGGGACAGAGGGATTTCCTTCCCAAGCGAAAAGCGCATTTCATTCCGCACTGATTTGTTCAAGAAGCAGAGCATGGTCAGGCAAAGAGCAAATACAAGCCAACAAAAATGCAGATCTCTTTTTTCTAAAACACGTCGATCCTTACGATCACCCCGTTTACAATAGGCACCGGTCTTCACATTTGATTTGAACTGAAGCTCTAGATTTCACAAACGCTGTGAACCGGGACAAGGATGTAAAAATTTAATTCTTCGAACGATGACATGTTCAGTTAAATTTTTGGGAAAGTTTTTTGGAACAGATTTCACAAACGCTGTGAACCGGGACAACGAAACAATGATTAAATTATTTGAACGATGACAACATGTTCAGTCACATTTTTGGGAGAGTAGTACAGAAATCCAACACAGCAGGAAGCTTACTTACAAAGAGATCCATGAAATACCGTAGCAAATTTGAAGATGTTCTAAAGTTTCAACCCAGATACGAAGCCCGCGGAAGAGTTCTAACTCAACTACTTCCCATTACCGCAACAGACATAATTTCACCGCGTGTAAGAAGGAAAAAACGCAGAAGAGAAAGCCCGATCCCAGTCTGATCAATCTGAAAATTGCGAGTCAAACCGTCAACATAAAGAAACTTTCAACAAGGTTACATTAGCGGCTGAAGAACGACACCAAAATGACGCGACAGAAAGAAATTTGACCGCCGAGAATCGCGGCTCCAAAAAAAAAAATATATATATATATTAACAGCATGCGGACACGCTCCACACGAGGATGGCATGCGAAATATTCAAACAGGCTCAATCAACTTAAAAGCATCGGATCCTCACTGCTGACCTGTGCCAACGGCAAATGTGCTCCGATTCAGCCCCATGACGGTTGAATCTTTATCCAGAGTTGCTTTAATCGCAGTCAGGTCGTCCTTGAGCAGTTGGACTTCTTTTCTGGCTCCGAAGTAGCCTTCAGCAGCCACAGACATCTTGATTGCGGAATCATTCAGAGGGACGAGTCTGAAGAATTGACCGGCGTTGCGCGACGTCCCGGTCCATGCGTTCTCCGAGGTTTCGATCGTAATTTGTGCCCCCGGAATGGGCTCATTCGTCGCTGCCGTGGTGATGAAACCTATGACACGCACATCACAGAATATCGTATAACTGAGCCCGTTTCAGAATCACGATCTAGGAAGGGCGCGATCCTCCAACAAATTCCACTATCATTCCTCGTTAACTAAATTGCACCTGCTTCTGAGAGGTTTAGTTTTGAAGCAGTTTATTCGAACAATTCTGATCAACCTTCACTGTTGGTCAGCGGATCCTGATTTGGACGCTTTTTTTTAAATTAAACTTTGACTGCCCACCAACAAGACTTGAAGCCACCTGGAAACTCCGGCAAGAAGTTTTACGTCCTACTCCATCAGATCTTTCAAGTTTTCTGAATCATTGCACTGTACACCTGAAAATAATATTTTTAGAGAACATTTTTTAAAGGATACATCCGTAAAATACGCGGAAAAAAAAGCTCGGCTTATCTAACAGTACACTATCGGGAAAGAAAAATGCCAGGGATAACGTTAAAAGATCGCTAACTGAATTTGCGCGCGATTCATGAAAAATTGAGTACACGCCAACCTTTGACTCCGTGTCTCGTCACAGCATCGATGAGGTGAAACACAGCCGGCTTGTGTTTCCTCCACAGAGCCATATGCGCTCCATAGCTCGGAGCGTTGCAACAACCCAAGAAAACAGAAAACTGGAAGACGCCTAAAGTCTCGTAAACGAAATCCTGAATGGCGCCATCTCGAGGCGACACGGCGGCGGCGGGAGAGAAGCCTTTGCTGAGCTGATCCTTGGGGATCTCGGCGCAAAGAACATTGAAGCTTCCGTGGAAATGTTCTTGAAGCTCGGTATCATTCAGTTTCCCTCTGTACTCAGATGCCAGCCAACGGAAAACACTTGAATCTGGTGGTTGGTGATCCCTTGAATGTTTATCCCCGTACCACGGGTAAGTAATGAAGCTCTCATGAACGTTCCCATCGAAAATAACGGAAGCGATGAAGGAGTTCTCACGGAAAAATCCCTTGAGCGCTTCGGTCTCAGGTTGGCCCGTTGCAGCTGAGGAAAAATAAAACGCAATGAGTGGCAAATTGTTCAATTGGAATGTACAAAATGGCGCTCACCTCGGAAGTCAAAAGCGAGATCCACGCTGTTCTTATTATACCAGCTACCCCCAAGCCTATCACAAAATTTGGAAGATTCCAACACACCACCTTCGAAGGAGTCCGCGTTCACCAGCGGAATGAGAAAAATTTTGACTCTTTTCAATAGCTTAGAAATTCTGGATCCATTTCGGTTGTCGACGATGTCATGTATCATGTCCATTACGAGCTCGGGGCCTGGAATATACAGAAATCGTATGATTAACTTGATGACACGTGATCCGTACAAGCAAGAACTAATAAGATACGAGAGCACAGTTTTCTTAGAAGTTCGTGCGACCAGACAGATTTGAAACGCCGTTTCGCAATTCCCTTTCCTTCCGAGAATTTCGCCCTGATTCAATTGTTCGCCGGGTTCTAAACCCACGTACGGGAAAATACAGTTCAGAATTAAAATTGCCTCATATTCAAAGGAAAATGTGCGCAAGTTCTACCAATTTCTAAACGTTTCAAGAGGAGTGAATTACCTGTAATTGAAAAAAATATAACAGTCCAACCTCTTCAAGTCGAACTGCAAGGGACCAGCAAAAAATCGAGTTAGGGTTAGGGAAGTTTCAAGTTAGAGCAAGACGCATTAATATCGGAGGATATTGTAATTGGTAATATTCTAGGCCTTAAATTGTTTCTTAAATGAGTTGCCAGATTGATGTTTGTGGACGCAAGGGATTATGCTCACAGAACAAAAAATCTTCCAATTGATTCGCAGTTGTGAACAAGACTAGAGGATAAAAAACCAATTTCAACGTCCGCCCGAGTATCGGAGAATGGATATCTCGACCATTCAGACTCCGATTTCTTTCATAGCGAGAAATTTCGAAAATACCATCGTAAATGTTGATCATACGGTTTTCACCGGAACTTCTCGACGGTTAGGATAGAATTTGATCCAACAGCTCACGAAAGTTCATTGGTACTTCTGGAGAACGATAAATTTAAGGCTTAAAAATATTTATCTAACCTGAATGTTGGCTTCCATGAAGACCAGAAATAACAGCAACTGCCGCACGACCGGGTAGCGAGGTCTGCACGTCGTTCGTGAACTCCAGGGCAAATATTACTCTGCCCTCCACTGTTTTGCCAATGCTGCATTCAAAAAAAGAATCGTTCTCGCCAACTCGTCGAATGACCTTGCGAATTTTAATCGAAGTAAATTTGCCTAAAATAAATCTTACCTATGAAGCTTTGCAATATCGGGATGATCGTGCGATACGATATTCATGAGAGTTTCAATTTCCCGGTATGAGTGATATTTTTCTTTTGAATGCGGCACAATTTCTGGCTTTCCGTCGCCAACAACTTCGTTATGCTGCAAAGCTAAGGTTTTGCGCTCCATCATGTAACTTAGAGATTCCTTATCAGGGACTCCTTGTTGCTTCACCGTCAACTGGACAATCCTACTAGCGAAACCATCGGCACCTATCTGTAAATTCGGTCGCTTTTAGTCAATGCTGTAAATCAATAATTGACCATTTTTCATAGGTACAGCATCAGAACCAAAAAACATTACGCTATATTTTTGAAATGCATCTTTCTTCAACAAAAGAATTATTCGAAATACACAAACCTTTTTTATGCATCGAGTCGCATAAAAAAAAGCTTCACTTTCGTTAATACTTTCACGTTCCTCGGTCTCAATTTCCATTTTGAAATAATTTCCCCGGACCACGGAATAATCCCCGGTCACATGAATGCAGCTCAAAAAACAACACCAAGATACTGTATTAAAAAAAATTTATTTGACATTTCTATTGAGTTGGTAGTCTCAGCCGTTCAAAAGATCAGCTTCTTTAAACATCGGTCAAAGTTCGATGTAAGCTTTTCAAGCATCGCAATGCATATTAGGCATGCGGGACAATAATAGAAACGAGATTTATTCATGCAGGGGACAACATACCGTTGCTAAGTAAAGGCCAGGCGGAAGAACGACACGAAAGCGAGCAGTTTCCTCGTTCAACCGGATCAGCCTCGTCTCTGCGCCTTGCAAAGTCAGATTCGCTGAAGGCAGGGGTTCTCCAATGTCATCCTTGACCACACCGGTTGCACTAAAAGTAGTGGCCAACAAAACGGATTCAAGAGCAGGCAAAACTCTCTGCCAGACGGACACGGGAGATTCAGTTTCATCACAGCAGGAAAACCGGATGTCGATCGCTGGTATTCGGCTAATACTGGCGTAGTTGATCAGGGCGTCTGCGAATCGCTGAGGCGGAGTGTAGACAACAGGATACCCATCAACTGGACCCGAAATTGGAATGAACACCGGGTCTAAGCCTTGGTAACATTCTTTCAATTTTGCGCTGCTTCGCATGGTTTCTGTGGCAGCGTCGCGCAATCTCGAAGCAAGGTACTCTGCTTGCTGATCAGGATTCGACGGAGAAACGTCGGAAGGCAGTCTTGCAAAATTTCCTTGACCATCCAGGGTTACGACCACATTTACATTCTCTGACCGCAAGAACTGCATCACAGCTCGAACTCTCGAATCAGCGGCAGCTGAATCCATCGTGAACGCATCAGTGATTCCCAAGCCGATTTCGCGTCCGCATACAGACGAGAAACTGCGCACATGATCCTCACGGAAGCTCAACGGTACCAAGTAAAGAGTAACCTGAAAAAAAACAAAATGATCATCGAACAAATTCAGCGTTTCAAATGGAAAACGCTAGACGATTAGGCAATGCAGAAGCATAGTTCTTTTACATGGGGAAACATTTTCATCAAACACGCGCTATCGTTCATCAGACCATTCCATCCATCTCTTGAACAAATTTCATCTTTACTACTTGAATGTTTGATATCAAGCAACAGAATCAGTAATTTTATTTTTCTGTGTCGAAAGGTTTAAATTCGACTCTAGTCCGCAGTCAACTACAATAAAGTCTTCGCCAGAAGCGAACACAGAAGACAGCCAACTCACCTTCGACAAAATTCTGATCGCACCCGCGTCCCATTTCTTGCCGGCGGCACAAAGATGTCTCGCCATGCGAACTAAATGATCGGAACCCATGGGGTGCATTCCGAAAATAGCCATTTTAATTTGACTTCCACCAGAATCGGGCGCTCGAGCAGCGAGTTTGAGGGTCTTCAGCAAAATACTCCATTCCGATCCCCCGGTTAGGAACTCGGCGAAATCCGGAAAACGACTCTCAAGTTCCGCCATGGCCGTGTATAATTCTTGCTTATTGCTGTACCGAAGCGGATGATCAACGACGTTTTCAACCACGCTGGCGTCTTCTCTAATGGCCCATTCTTGCGCATCTGCCATAGATTCCGAGATGTTCGTATGCTTCCGAAGTTTTCCCTCGGTTACATCCATATTTTCGTCAACTCTCTCACGTAGGTTGTCATCCACAGCAGCGTGGGCGTCGAACAACATGCGTTCCGCGGCGGCTTTCAAGTGCGTTGCGTCGCTCACGGCGACCAGCGTGACGTTCAACAGTGCTTCCGGACGCCGGTTCTCATCTACGACGAATTCTTTCGTCGTCGGGAGGAAGCCTTCTGCCTGGAACGCAACTTCATACTTTCCCGGAGACAACAAGCGCCAATAGTCCCCAAGCTGAGTACTGGTCACGTTTTTATCAATTCCCACCACTGATACGTTTACAAAAGGCACCGGGATTCCTCGAGTGGATGAAATAAAGCCGTGAATCCCACGATGAACTTGAGAAATGTATTCAAGTATCGGCACGCGATTCTCGATCCAAAATCCTGGAAGTTTACTTTGCGCAGGGAATTTCTCACACGACACTTCCATCGTGATTTCGAACGTGCCGAGCTCGTGGTAGTTCCAGTCTTGCATCCCTCCATTAACGGAGTACCATTTATTACCATTCGTTATTCCCTCAGAGAAACATGTTCCGTCGCACACACACCCATTCTTCATCCTCCCGTGGTTCTACGAAGATGAAATAAATACTTTGAAAAGTAAAAATACGTCTCAACGTTACAATCTGATTGTTTCCAGAAAAAAAAAAAACTACTCAGCTAAAATTGTTTTCACAACTATTGCATATAGATGACGAGTAATTCATGCAAAGGAGAAACGAATCGACAACCAACCTTGGAATACGCTAAAGCAAGTTTCTTGAAAATAGCATCATCAGGACTTTTGCTATACTGAAGTTCAGAACAGTTTCGGCAGTTATCGAATGGATAATTTGCAACAACTGCTCCTCCGTGAAAATTCGCGGACAAGACGAAGTGATGCTGTTTCGACCAGTTCATGACAGCCTGCGTCTCCGGCTGGAATGTTTTATTGCTTCTCTCCGACGGATGGAAAAAATCCGGAAAATCTCTGTTTAGGTCGACTTCATTGGCGTTTTCCCGCCCACCATGAGCACCTTGATGCGCTGCGTAGCAAATTTTGCGCAAAAATCATCAATACGATCAATGCAAGAAGAAGCTTTTCCAAATGATGGACATGGAAGTACATTATAATGTATATTGGGTAAAAGTCTCTAGCATTGCCTTTCCAGGAGAGCTTGAAGCCATTTTCCTCGGAACTTCAAACTACACTACATGAGTCGTGAGAGCCATTCATTTTAGGTGTGATTACCAAAGGGAGAAAAGAACCGCAAGCCGCTGAAAACGCCGATAAACCTCCAGCATGCAATCCACAGTACAGTATTGCCAAAAGTGGCTTAAAAACTAGGCCTCTGATCTTTTGAAACTGATACGTGAAGAATCGATGAAGCGGCATCTTCACGCTTTTTCTAGAATACCCATAACGGACTTCTTTCTAAAGCCAACACATGAACTACAATTATCAAGAGCGGAATCGCGCATTGTATTCGTCAATAATGGAACAGGAACGTACAAAAAGCTTTTTCATAGCCATCCGGGTTCATGGATGGCAATATATGGAGCCGAGTGGCATTCACGATATGGGTAATACGTTGTCGTTCCACCTCAGCTCTTGCTGTCCAATTCTTATGGCGATCTGCAGTCGGCAGCGGACCATAACCCTCCAGCAACAACTGAATTAGTGTCAGCAGAATTTCTCGACCGACAGCTTCATCGCCATGCATGTTGCCAACTAATTTGACTTCGGGTTCTCCGGGTTCTTGCATCCCAGGATTATCGCTTATTTCCATGACGTAAAGCTCGCGATTTTGAACAGAATTTCCGATGGAATACAATCGACAAAGACGTGGATATGCAGCGGCGTACTCCAACAGGAAGGCTACCATATCACTATAATTATGGTGTCGAAAACTCGGGGTTTTCAAGAACCCGGTACTGAACAATTCCTCCGTATCGAATATGAGATCTCCGATGTGGTCAATGGGTTCTGACACAGTTTCGTACGCACTGTGAACATCCTCCTGAGCTACATATACAAGCAAAGCACAAAGAAAAAAATATAGTACAGCAAAGGAATTGACAAAAAAAGCATAGCCCAAGCTGATCTTGCACAGGCATTATTTGAAATGGAAATCTGACGAACAAAGTGACTTCGTTCATGAACGATATAAGAAATCAAGACAAATTTCCTCGACATCAGTGGAACTCTTGGATGAACACGAACATATTCAAGACTGTATACAAATTTCAAACATGATCGGCGGTCGAAAGTCGAACTTCCATCATCACAGCTCCATATTCAAGATTCTCCAAAGCAACAGAATTAGCGCGCTTCCATAATTGCCTAGACAAAGGAAAATCAACTTCAACAATGCAACCTATAGACTCACGGCACGATTTCATTTACAAGCTGGAAAATCGGTTTCGGAAATTTAAAAAACGTCATGCGCAAAGAACAGACGATGTGATTCATCAACAAAACACACGTATCCCTTTCTCACGGAAAGTTGAATTTAAGCAAGAACAATACTCCTTAAACCGATTATTCTCGCAGGTGACAAAAATTCAGCGCGTCTCACTGCGACTTGTGAGAAAGTTTCGCATGCATTTTGCTGTTCCTCGGTACATCGGGGTAGGGCTTCTCAACCTTTTTGTGGATCATATCACTTTCAAGATAAGCCACTATTTATGCACCACTACCTGGTGAACCACTTGGTTAAAGAACACGAGCGCAGGGCACTTCCTGGCTCCAGATATAGAACACGGTTTCTTAAATTCCATCAACTTGAGTCACCGACACATAAATTCAACATCATTCCATGCTAAGCATTAAATGCTTCGTTCTCTTTCAAATACTGCATATCCTTCACTAATTTCTTCCATGAGCTAGTTTCATCCGAAGTTATGGACAAAGTAGTCCACACGTAACACCCCTACTTCAGTTCATAGATAATGTCGCGTAAGATTTTCGAAGAAATAAATAGGTAGCACCGGTTGAAAACCCGGGTGCCGTATTCGGGAGATCACATAAATTAAAAAGAGTAAAAATATGCGTTATCAATTTATTAACGATGCATCCAAGAGAGACAGAATTTGTGTGATTTCAACAAGAAGGAATATTTTCCGTCAATTTATCGCTCAAAACCCTCTTTTCAGGGGAATGAACAGATGAACGATACCTTTTCCAGCAACTTTATCTGGCGATGCAGTATCAGTCATAATAGGAACAGGATGTATGCTCGTCAGTGTGAAATCCTGCTGCGACATTGAGTCTCTATCCAGAACAGAAACATTCTTCGTTTGAGGATGATAACTGCAAGAAAATTACAGAGACGTAAAAATAATCAATCCCTAATCGAGTGAAAAATAACTGACCCCGCTGCGACGACTGTAATCGTGTAAGTCCCAGGCACGAGGAGGCGCCAGTATTCCCCTCTAGACGACGTCGTGATGTTATGGTCAATTCCTTGCACGACAACTACGGCCTTTCCAATCGGATTTCGATTAAGGTCATCCCTCACGATTCCTGAGATATGCATTCATTAACCAAAGGTACCGTCGCAAGGAAAAAAAATGCAATACCTTTGACACCAAGATGGACCTGCTGAATATAATTCATCATGGACCGTTTGTTCATTTCCCATTCCTTAGCCAGAGTTGTCTCCCTCGGAAACTTGCAACACGTCAGCTCAACAGTCACTTCGAAGCAATTCGACCACTTATAGTTGAAGTCCTGCATGCCACCTGAAAAGTAGCTTTGATACAGTGCTTCTTCTTGGATTTTACATACTAACATACGGTACACTCCTTGCGAAGGAAATACGTAAAATGGTAACTTACCTTCAACATCGTACCAATGCGCTCCATTTGTAATACCGTCCGGGAATGTTTCCTTTTCTGACCCAAGACACTCCGGCTTTCCAGTTCGAATGAGTGGATGCGACGAGGCATAGATTTTTGATATGCGCTGGAAGTACGCGTCATCAGGAGAGGCACTGTAATGGCCCTGTGGCACATGTTGACTGCGAAAGAAGGCAAATTTTATGCAGCTTTCACGTTGGGTGCCCAAAAATATAGCATAATGGAAAATTCGAATCTTAGTGCGGCTCAATTCAAATGTAACCACAATGCATGGAAACTGGCGATAAATAAAGTAAGTCGCTATGAATCGGAAATAAATGCGTGCAGCAAAGGAAAAACGCATCCTTACTTTACAAAAATAAAACCTGGAACACGATCAACGTTCTTCGGCTACGCACACTCATACAGGAGGAATTCAAAAACCAGGGTGGACCTAAAATGATTGATGCTTGGCACAGACCGAATTCCGTCATAAGAAATACCATAGGCGCATAAGACATTTTCACTTAGGTATTCTTCGAGGTCTCAGCTTAAATTCCTTAGACCTAATCCTAAATAAATATTGTCACAAAAACTTCACTGTCGAGTAAAACAAATTGGTTCTTCCACGATTTTCTGCAGTCCTCCTTACATGTTGCTTAGGGGAAGAAATAAATGTTTTATTTTTGGAACTTCGTTACCGTAATTTCACTGTGAGAAATGTGTTATTATAGTGGAAAAGTTTGTCACTTCCTTTAGTACACTGATGTGTTCAGAAAACATCCAGAAATGAACCTATCATTTCAGAATTTCTTTTACAATTTCGCTCATGAATCTCATTTTAACGCATCTTTCGACCCCCGAAGTTCGACACTTGATGAACGAATTTTCAAGGATATTTTCTCGAAGTCCCAGTGATATCGTAACGAGCCTCTATTGTAATTACTGAATTGGGAATGATTGAGTAATATACTAAAAGCTTCGGAGCATCAAAGCACTCGAAAACTCATCAACCAGAAAACAATGAAGTACAGTACAGTAAATTAAATTTGAGAGGTGCTCAGTGTGGAATCTATCGCTACCTCGAGTCGTCGTACGGGTAGCTAACGACACGTGATCCACCGTGCATATTCAGGGAAAGAACGAAGTTGTTATCGATTATCCACCGCATGACAGCTAATGTTTCCGGCTGGTACAGCCCCGTCACGTTTGCATTCCACTGCGACGGGAAGTTCCGATTCAGGTCCACACCATTGAAATTCCGACGTCCACGAGAAGATTCGCACCCGAACTTCGATTGCTGAAATCAAAGTCATAATTATAGTCCAAAGAATAACCGAACAGAACACGATCTCATCTCACCAAGTGATGCTCCAGAGAAAATTCGAATCCATCGGGATTCATTGAAGGCATACAGTGTATCTCAGTAGTATCTAAGATACGCTTCACATCTGGATCTTGGGGATAATTTTTTAAGAAAAATTCAACCAAACCAAGGCATAGAACGCGTCCCACTGATTCATCTCCGTGCATATTTGCCACTATTTTGAACATTGGCATTCCTAAAGGTCGCATCGTGAGATTAGTGGAAAGCTTCAGAACCCAAAGTTCACGGTTCCTCTGCGACTTCCCAATGCTGTACACATCGAGGAGTGGAGATTGCGTTTTCCAGCGGAGAATCATATTCGTCATTTGAACGTAATTCAAATAATGGAGGCTCTCCGCAATGTCAGAGCTAGTGTTAGTATTTTGGATGGAACACGACACGAAGCCAACCAGCAAAAGCCCAAGAATAAATCTGGTGGAACATCCCCCATTTTCCATAGTGACGGAGACGACTGGTCGAATGCTTCCCCGGTTTGCACTGCCCATCAAAGCTGAACAGACACTGCCCAAATCTGAATGAAAATCAACAGGTTTAATTCAATTATAAACGAAAGAGTCACAGTTTTATATGGGGGAACATTACTACATTATTCAATGTTCATGGTCTCTTCGCGAATATTGCTTTAGACAAGAGTAAAAAATTTGAACAGACGTCCACGAGCGCAATCACCGCACTCAGCCAAGTTCCCTCCACACGCTTTCAATAGCGACTCAGGAATGTCAGCGAGTGTCTTACGTCGAGCTCTCAGCAGAAAACGCGGGCTTTCCTTCGTTCCCGCTCTTGCACAAGAAAACCATCGGGGAAACGGTTCAATACCAAACGGATAATGCCCACACGGCCACAATTTTGAAACTTGAAACATTAAAAGATTATTAATTGTACTCTTTAAAATACTGTACCCCAACTCACACTCAGAAAAATCACCAGAGCATGCGCATGATTGTCGATAGCTCTATCAAACTTTTTTTTAGGAAAAAGTCCTGAAAGAGGGGATTTCCAAGTGCTCAGAATGCAAGTACAGTATTTTATCTTCAACAATTAGTTTCGTCCTTGAATATATCAGGAAATAGGAAGATATCGTTGTTTAGGGTTACTTGAATCTACTGTACTTCCCTCGGTTTTGAGATGCTTCTGCTTCCAAAACTTCCCAACCTAGAACTAAGGATTTTTCAACAATTGTCATATTATATATTGTCATGTATCAGCGATTTTGTAAACGAATATGAAACATCAGCAGTACTTCAGTGACAGAAACCAGAGTTTGAGATGGGTTCATTTTCACGACTTTTACGACCATTGATGTTTGGCAGCAGAGGAACTGATGTTACATAAATGTTACCCATTAATTAGATTATGCGGAAAGGAACTGGGACATCAGAACGAAGATATACTGTTGCATTTCATCTGCAACTCAATAGATGCGGATGGATGGTGTCCTATTTTTTGCGCACTTACACAAATTTTTCATCTGCATCACCATTCTTTAAAGATGTCCACACAAACAACTATCGGACAGTTTTGAAGCCTTACCACTGCAAAGATGGCAGCCAAAAAAAAAACTAACACGAACTAAACTTAACTGACCAAATTGGATACAATATTTGAATAACCCAACCTAATGAGTGAGAAACATTACCAAACGCGATATCAAACAATCATATGTACTTTTACTGAAATAACTTCGCACCTCGGATGTGGGTTGTACCTCACATAACATGCACTTTAATGTAGACGCACTTCATGGGCCGTGCCAAAAACGAAGAATTTAGATATGATGCTTCATCAGTCAGCGATGAAGAATTTAAAAATTACGAGGCAGATTTTTTTCTTGTTATCAGTTAGCCCTAACCAGAGCTTACGCACTATGTTCGACAGAGGATAAAGCTTGATAAATAGTCCAGTTCAGAGTAAATACTTTACAGTTTCTATTCATTAAGAAAAATGCACTGGACTTGAAAGTCTCAATAAAATTGGTTCTTTCAAAACTAATGGCCTTCAAGACCGGAATGTCGCATGGGAACAAAATTTAACCACTGCGGCACAAAAATTCAATTGAGAGCGCAAAGATTCTCTCACCATGACTATCGACTCGAAGATCCTTGAGACAATCTTGGATGAAGACATCGGATCATGAAGATGACGTCAAGACTTATTTCCCGATGCTGGGAATCCCAGCTTTGAAAATGATACCTTGTCAATGCTACAAAATCCACAGCTGAAACTTCCCGCGCAAGAATCTATGAAAAACAAGATCACTGATACAAAACGCGGATACAAGATTTCTCGTTATATGCCCAACAAAATAGAAAGGAATCCAGGAATTTTCATAGCAATGCCACTTGATTTTCTTTACTCCAGCAAGAGAGAGGATTAACACGGACGCAAAGCAAACAAGGGAAAACACATTCAAAAAACGACTGCGATTGCATGGATTCTTCCACCTTGGAATGTTAAGACTCAAACGGTTACTCGGGCGGTGGGGGCGTCACTTCGCGAGATGACGGACACGGTCAGCAGCAAATCTCATGGCTATAACGTGAGCGAGCCAACATGAGATCAGTCAGTCAAGAACGCATACCTTCGATGCTCCTTTTCCTCACTCTACCTTAAACGTACGGATCAAAAGTAATCCGAAAAACTTTGGGTGGGCTAAGAATTTCCCATCAAACATACGTCATACACTCATTAAAGAATCGTTCGAAGTGACACGCTATTGAAACGGTAGTCGGCCTGAGTTATCTACCGGCGAAATCTGACTTGCGACGGTCTACAATTCATCGAGCCTAAACTGGAAAATAATGTATTGAGCATAATCGCACTCGCACGTCTTGGAACAGACATACAGTACCTTCAATCTTCACGGATCAAGATCGTGCGAGAATATCTTTTCCCGTGACTAGGTTCTGTTAAGATAGGTTAGCCGAGCTTAAATAGTCCTAACCTAAAAATAAAGAGTTTTTCAATCGAGAAATAAACGCGAAAAACCACGGGGATCGAAAAACAACAAAGTTACTCGAAATTTTTCTCACGAGGCTTTGACTAGAACAAAAATACCATTAGATTTGAAGACGTTAAAAGCTTCATTTCTTCGGACAAAATCTAGAATAATGTAGAAATAAATGTTCTTTTTAGTGTAACCGAGAAGTTTGTATGCAAACGGAAATTGTCACAGGATCGAAGTCGCACCTTTGACATGAGGGGCGACTCTCAACCATAAGATAGATTTCGCAGGTAGACAGCATGAACCTACACCAATCGAAATAAGTTTCCGTCTCAATTCCGCGACTACGCGATATTCACGCTGAAAGAGAATCCCCCAAGGCAGGTTTCAACAAAGACCTCCTTCCTCATCCTCATCGCCCAAGTCGTGACGGGGATGCCCCACTGTGGAAGAGCTTCCAATGAGTGGCAAATCAGGAACTGGGGAATCGTTCCCCTGTAGGTTCATTCCTGTCGCAAGATTTGAGGCCAGGCCATCCACTACGGAGAACTCTCGCGGAAATTCCATGTCCCTCGACAACTTGGCGTACTCCACATCCATGTGCTTGATGTAAGGGTCAGTCAGCGCCTTCCGACACGCCTCCTCGTCTTCCGCAGAGTAGGCATCGAGGATGCGTAGAATTAACTGCTCTTGCTCCGAAGAGCAATACTCGCCCCACTCCTTGAAAGCTTTGTCAGCTGCCACGGTATCCATACGAGCGAGCTCAACTAGGACTAGATTCACGACGAGACATCCGATGCGATCTTTAGACCCTCCCGACCGCCAATATCCCATCTCGCGACGAATGGCCTTCAAGGCTTTGTCGAACAACTTGAGCTTAACGAAGAGTCGATGAACTTTCGCAGTGTACTCGGCGGCTTGTTTCGGTCGGTCTTCGATCATGACGACTTCCGCGGCTCGAGAATACAGCTCAGCAGCTTCTTGGGGCATAGCATTTTCGATGATCTGCGCCGTCTTCGACAGACTCAAAGCGGCGGTCTCCGGTGAGCCTTGCTGCTGGTAAAGCGTACATGCTTTGTGGCTCAAATCGAAAGCCTCCTTGTAATGCGATTCGCCCAACTCTTTACAAAGCATTACGACGTCATCCAAGCACTTCGCAGCGCCGAACCATTGCTTGTACTCGCAGAAGTATTGATGTGCTTTCAGAAGACATTCTCGAGACTCCTTGTAGCACTTGGCCACTTTATAACAGGTAGCAGCCTTCTTGTACTCATCCGCGGCAGTGTCATAATCAGGTCTGAATTTTAAACCAAGAAGCGATGTTTTCAATGCTTTCTCGGCTTCTTTGATGTGATTCAATGCTTCCTCTGCTTTCTTCCCACTCAAGGCCATGACGAAAAGATACTTCCGTCGTATCAAGTTCGGCCAAATCGATCTACATCGACCAGATCAGCGGATTCCCAGGAACTGAAAGAAAATTATGAAAATACGTTTAAATCTCACAGGTGAACATTGTGAAACGAACGCAAACAATCAAAAATCCGACCAGAGCTTCCTTCTACAAACTGAGTGGAATCGGAGCCTGAACGAGGCCTCAAACGATTTCTCGCCCAACTAAAAGCGCAGTTGGAACCATCACGCGATTGATCTTTCAAGGTAAATGCCAGATAAACAACGTCTGGGAAAATCACCGCACTCACCATGAGCTTCGCCGATACCTTTCGATTCACCGATGAGCAAATTCGTGCGTTGAAGAAGCCTGAAAATGAATAAACGGGTGGGATTCAAGAAAAAGGCGAATCACGGAAGCAGTACGATAAAAAAGCGTGTTCGATCGATTTACAATTCCCTGTTTTTTTAACACGTGAACCCTCCTTCCACGCGAAGGCATAATTTAAATAAATGCCGCGACGGTTGAGAACTGCAAATACTTATCAGAGATACGGGAGGGAAGTGCGGCGCAAAATATAAACTTGACTGGAAAGTCTTCACAAATGAATCGGAAGCTTTGCACACTCGATGTACATCAAAATACTCACAGGTTTTGCCCCTTGAAAACACAATCGCTATCCACCGCAAGCGCATATAATGCAAACCACAAAGTTCTGAAAAAAGACAAACAAAATATGGTCAATATGTGTGAATGAGAGTATTCAACAAAAATCCTTCCATTCAAAAGCGAATTGAAAATTAATAACATCGTGACGGTTATTAACCGCATCGTCCATACATCATCCTTCGACCCTTATTCCGGAATACTTGCTCGAAAATTGAACACGGCCTCTCATACGGGAGGTAATCTGCCCCAAACATTGTTAACCTTTCAAGAAAACGCGAAGCAGACTTCAAAATCGCGTCATTCATAAACTCACTCGTTACTAACTCATTCAGTATCACTGCGATACTCATAAAATTGCCTAAATGTCCATTCTGCCAACAGTCTACGGGGACCAGAAAATCTCGATTCAAAAATCTTTGGATACATGATGATGAAAATGAAGACTTCATCTTGTCTTGAGGAACAAAACGAGAACAAGTATAAAAAAGCGAATGAAAACGTTCCCGCGTTGAAATGAGTAAGATAGTAACCAGCAATACACAATCCTTGTCCAGTATAGAAAATCATCTCGGGTTCGCAACGAGGAATCACTGGTAACGCCAGGAACAATCAATGCATTCCGCAAGATGTACGATTTTAACTCTCTTGACCGTTCGACGGTAGAGAGCAAGAGACCAAGTCCGGTAGTCACTGTTGGGTTTGTTTTCGACGCTGCTGTTGTCGCTGCTTATCAAAACGAGCCTCCATTTCTTCGAGAACTTTCGGTGTGTAACGGACGACAAGTTTCACGGTTCCGTGAGCGGCCTTCAGCAATTCCACAGCTTTCTCGTGAGGTTCGCCTTCAACTGACTGTCATGTGCATCAAGATGATCCAGTAGAAAACGCAATGTTGATGTTGAAAAAAAATCATTTTTCTTCGCGAGAAAGGCTTGAAGCTCACTGCCAAGGAAAATACTTACGACTCCGTTCACAGACAGAAGTTGATCTCCACGCTTTAATCCACCGTGACGATCAGCGACTCCACCAGGAATAATCCTCGAAATGTATATCGGAGAATTCTGCTCTCTTCCACCCATGACATTGAAACCTAACCCTTCTTCTGTCTTCGGTAACTCTACCACTCGAGGGTGAGCGTGTCCTTCGCTGGCCGCAAAAGCAGCGACAGTAGCCTTAAGAATGAAAACAATTATGAAATCGGTTAACTGCTAAAATAAAATGAGGACATGTTCTACTCAAGAGTGAAATGCAAGCAAGAGAGCGACGAATTTGTTGAATATGCACGGAAGACTTGAAAATATTTGTTCGAACCAGGGAAAGGGCGGGAATATCCGTTCATGCTGTTTTTCTCAAAATCCAACCGACCTTCCTCATTTGCGAAGAGTAAGAACCCGGAGGCAAACTGAACTGCCAACGAATTTTGACTGCCAGTAAGAGAAACTAACACTAACTCGATTCTATAGTTGACTGAAAAGTAGTCGACTATCTGATTTAAATGTAAACCTGCACAGGATCTGTTCAAACGCGATAACTTCAGCAATTTGCTGGATTCAATCAAAATATGTTCAAACCAAATCAGAACACAGCTTTACTCGGTGTCCTACAAACTTTCGAAGGGATAAATTTTATTAATTCCTTCCGATTTATGATGGATATGGAATAAAGAATAATACAGTCGCTTCACCTTTGCTGTAGCTGATGCACGGACTTCGGGGGATCCCGAAATGTCCACAGTTTCGTAAACATGCTCATAAACTTCCCGCACGGCATTGAAAAAGTCGCTCTGAAGCACCTTTTGCAGGGCTGCTAATTTGGCTGGTGGTACTTCTCCACCTAGAAAGTACTCAGAATGAACCTTTCGATGCAATTTAAATTTGAAGACGATCGTTCAGTAGATGCCACGTCTAAGACGGAAGAAAATATACTTAAACTAACTTTTTTGAAGCTTTTCCAGCAAATCGATTGCCGTGCGAACATCTGAAAATGAAAGTGAAAATGGCGAAACTGTACTATACACGGAAAATATTCACATTTAATCCCACCTTGCGCTAGGGTCAAGGGCTCCGACATACTTGATGGTGAACACTATTTATGTTCGAGCATAAATACAACGCGTCTCAATAATATTTGTCAAGGACCTGAAATAAATAAGATATTCAATGAACACAGCATAAACACTTTTCAAATACTGGAAAGATTTTCAAAAGTTAGTTTGGCATCTGCGACGCAATATCACATTGGATTCAACAAAGTGTTTTTTCCGGTATTCTGAAGATTCTCAGCGCGCTGTCAGACCCGCCACTGACGACCATTGAGCTGACGGACCAGTCACAACACATAATCTTGTCTTCATGCCCCTCCATGTCGTACAAAGCAACTTTCGGGCTGAAACAGACATTTCGGGAAAACAAAAACCAAAATACACCTTTCTGTAAAAATGGATCAAAAATGTCCTCCACAAACCTGCGAATGTCCCATAGCTTCAGTTTCATGTCGTGGCCTCCAGAAACAAACATGTCTTCATTATCTTGCGACCACTTCACGCATGTCACCCAGCCATTGTGTGCAGTGAAAGTCACCTTGACCAGATTCCCTTCTGTTAAAAACACAAATCGAATACTGTTTTGTACGTACAAGCTTTTTCGATGCACGGGATCGTTCAATTTGCATACGGCAATTCATACGTTATTTCTGTCAATCACGCGATCATGAAACACAGAGTACGGAACTGACATCTTTACTCAAGAGATTATCAAGACCTCAGACAAAGCTAAAAGCATTTTCTCAACACGAAAGGAATAATCAACCACTCCCTCCTTTTGATCTGCTCTTTAAATTTTCACAGAAAAAGGAACTCAAAACTAAAATGAACTCAAAACTAAAATGAACATATCAAACTTCGCAAAACGCAATCCAAAATTCAAGAGCGTTCCTTCAATCCAATGCTATCAATTAGCGCTGGTTTATTTAATCCCCCGCGATTTAGTAGAACAAATAAGCTGGTCGCTCTACCGTGGTCACCGCAAAATAGGGCACAATTTCACAGTGAGATGAAAAAAATGCTGCACGTGCATCGTGAGCATACCTGGTGATCGTGGATCGTATAAGCGAATGTGACGATCAGCAGAAGCCGTAAGTAGAGCAGGTCCGCTTCTCAGTTTGGCCCAGTCAGCATCCAAAAATGCACGTGAACCGGCGAACTGTGCTTTAACCCCGCCCATTTCAGCATCCCAAAGACGAATTGTCTGGTCCCAAGAAACTGTACAAATTTCGTCCGGCAGGTGCCAAACAACGGCTGTGATTGCTTCCACGTGACCAGAAAAGGTCATGACTGGTACACGCTTCTCGACAGCTGAAGCATCTTCCCCTTTCGCCTTCTTCGCTTCGCTTCTTCCAGGCTCCTCATCGGGATCTTTTCGGGAGGAAAAAGAAAAGGAATAGAATAAAAAATCAGGTCAACCAACTACAGAAAGGAATCGGGATGAAAAATAAGCAACCCATCGACTAAATCATCGCTTCCGAAAAAAGGGAAATATGCATGAATGAGCTTCCCTAATGGCTAAAGAGTACTTTCATAACAATATGACAAGGATTCCATTCAAATTTAAACTGTATCACTTTCTTCTGCAAACTGATTATGAACTTTAAATCCTACTCACCAGCCGACCAAATTTTCAACATCGTATCAAAGGAGCCTGAGGCGATCATTCGCTGGTTCGGGTCGATCGCAAGTGCTTCAACCGTCCGCTGATGACCGATCCCATTGAAAACAGCTGTCGCCAAGTTTTTGTCCGGGAACCATTTCCACATGCGAACGGTCTGATCGTGAGATGCACTGAGTGAAAACTGGCATTTTCAGAAAAGTTCGAACATTACTATTCGCATACCTTACCTAACGAACAAGCGTCCTCCATCAGGCAGTTCTTGTTTAAGCCATTTGACGGCCTTCACCGGTCCGCTATGACCAGGAATTGATAGCAAATGTTTCGCACGGTCATTCCAGATATGAATCATGTTGTCGTAGCAACCAGTCAGGATCCTTAAATAAGAAAAATCTTCAAACCTTTGATCTCTAGGAAGGCAAAAATCGATTTCGCCAAACCAATTTTTATGACAATGAGCGGCGGACACCCAGTCGTCATGAGTAAGACTGTCGAATGGCTCAGGGGCCGGAAACTTCTCCAAATATTCGATTTCAACGACTTCCTCCGTTGAAAGTCCTTTTTCGTCAATGAAGAAACCTAGACTTGCCGGCAGAAATTCTCCCGCGATGAGAAATTCAAAGTCTGGAGGAGCACCCACGCCAGGGTCACCTTCTGTAAAATTTAAAAAATAAGGATAAGGTAAGCTTTAACCCGAAGAACTTCGAAAACGGTTCAATTAGCGCTGCTAACCTTTCAATAATCCTGAAATGAGTTCATTCATTCCAGGGGTTTCAATGGAAGCTGGTATCGAAAACAAGGTGTCCTGCACAGCATACCTGTCAAAGAGCAAAATCCGCATCACCTCATGATTCGATAACTGCCTTCGTTCTTGTATGCATTACAACGAACACAGAAATACATATGACCAAATACCTGGTTAATTTCGTCACAAATCGAACTTGGATTTGACGATCGTCCACGGCAACGGATTTCTCCATGGCAAATCTGCAGCTTTCACAGTTCAACACGTAGAATTACTATTTGAACGAGGAAAATAATCAGGATATTCCATCAGCCCACCAACAGTGCTGCTCTTTCTTCAAATGTACACAAACTATACACGAACTCAACCAATACACTGGGGCACATCAAGCGGTCGCTTACGAAGTTTTATGACTTCACGATGAACATGTACTCCGTCCAAGAGTTATTCAGCCAATCATGGAAACAACGGAGAACCATAAAATTCAAGTGAAATTGACGGATTGAAGAAATAAAAATTTGCAACCTTCCGGTAGCTTCTCGATACTTTTATTTTTTCTTCTTCGGTGCGTTTTCCGTGCAGGATTTTTTCCTCGGCGTTTCTCATGCGATTAACAGGTGAGTCGCTGAATTGCCGTTTCAACGAATGCGGCCGAGGTGGAGGAAACCGACGGAATTTCAGCAAATGCATGAAAGTCACGTTTCAACAGTTCCGAAAGAAGCGACGGTGTGCCTGAAACACTCGAGATCAATACACATCCGTCCAAGCAGGCTCTCGAGCAAAGAAAATTTGGTCAATACCGCTACTTTCACCACAACTCGTGAATGCCGTAAATAGGTATTGCTCCAAAATTTTTAGACCTTCCTAAAGCCTGATCCCACTGCCGAAAAGTAAAAGGACATTTCAGCAGTTTCACTTGTGAGCTGCTGTTAATGATATGAAGCAACGCCAGATGTCGTTATTGTGATACTTGCTCGACCAAAGACCAGAGTACAGTACTGAAGTAGGATAAATGAACAAGAGGCATGGAGGACACTGACTAAATGACAGAAGGTGTCATTGCTGCAGCATCGCGCGCGAGAAAAAGGTACATTTCAGTACTGCAAACAGAATTACACATGTACAATTACTGTACCTCTTGAAAATACGGTACAGTATCTAAAAGTGGGATTATCTGCGAAGTAATCTAAGGAACTGTATGGAGGTTATAAGACCAGCAGAGGAGCACTTTCAGTCTAAATATCGCAGAACCCACTATGACTCAGACAGGTCAATATTCATTTTACACACCTTAGCAGGGCTATATATATGCAATTGCATTTTCTGTACAAGGGTCTTGACAAAATTTCATGCAAAAATTCAAAAAATGTCATACAATTGAGCTGAAAAATGTATCCTTTAAGGAAAACATATTCTTTGGTCCAAAAAAAGTCAGTCCTGTTTGACAATTTCTTTTTATGTTTTGCAAAATTCACCCTAGCAGAGTTTTGCTCTCTACTCAAAAGATGAGGCACCCTTCCTGCAGATTTTTGCTGTTGTAGCCCAGCTTTCCCCTCAGAATTTTTGAAATCAACCTGGCATTCTTTCTAAGGGTTGCCTCCAGGTCTTCCAAGGCAATCCCGCCATTTCTATGAACATCAGCCGCCACATTGGCCGCTGTTGATAAAAATGGCAGAATTGCCTTGGAGGACCTGGAGGCAACCCTTAGAAAGATATTTCAATCCTTCCACCATACTGTATATATATATATATATATATATATATTTGGTAAAAACCTGTTCTACAGTCAACCCTTGCACAACTTCCATTTGGTTAACGTTTTTTCACTTAACACTCCCAGTTGCAAGCCCAAAAATCTGTTCACTTAAGGTTCAAAATTCCGCACAATGTTCCGTTTAAAATTTGTCAAAAATTTATTTCTTGACCAAACTTCAATTTTTAAACGGGATAAGCTGCGCAATGAAGTTCCCCGCAATTTCTTTTTTTAACTTGAAAAAATATTGAGAATTGATGGAGTTATGAAAAACACAAAATGTTTCTGAAAGTTAAACCAAAATTGGGAAAAATCTTTTTACATTTTTATTTTCAAATGATTCATTTTTTAACATTTTCCCAAGTTAAATATTGCTAAATTTGTAAAACTTCAATGTGCTTCTAGCCCTGTTAAAATTTTTGAAATGGATTTTGAAGAAATTATTGAGTTAAAGTTGAATTTGTAAATTTTTTGTTCCACTTTTCAAAGTTTAAAAATTTATAAAAACAGTTCTATGGCACCAAACATCAAACTTAAAACAGGGTTAGATGCGCGTCAAAGTTTTTAACATATTGTAGTCATATTTACGACCACAACACCCTTCACTTTACGCGTCATTTTGAAATACTCTCACGGAGTAACTTTTGCGTTTCCTTCGAAAGTCGCGGAAAACGATTTAAATCTCCGATCCCCTTTTTCCTTTAATTATTAGAAAGAGTCCACAACGACTGATCATCGTTGTTTCCTCATTCGTAAAATAGTTTTTGGATAACAAATTTGGCGCAGCCGTAGTTTTCTTTTTCGGGGGGGTGGATCCCTAGAGTTGCTGCATTTCAGTGCACCAAGTGTAGTAATTCTTACAGGTGACGCGACGCTAGTGAAGAAAAAGTTTAACGAGAAAAAGAGACTGAGGTAAAAAGTGCTTTCCAAAGAAATTCAATTGGTGAATTGCGGATCAACAATTAGAATTCTTTAACAACAAGTTGTGTACAAATTTGTTCGACGAAGTTTTTGCTCAGTCCAAGAAAGTTAACTTTAAAAAACTAGTCGTCACCGAAAAAAGAGATCCCCCGCGCAAAAGTGAGAGTGTTAAAAAGTGACTACGTGAGCTAAGTGTTTTAGACGACCAATTCTTGTCAAACACCATGTCATTGCCGACTCCGAGAGTAGACGAACTCCCCAGTGTCCACAGGGCTAGGATAGCAAATGAGTCTCCCGAAGCTGTGGTCGGATATTTGACAGAACTAGTGAGGTTACTTCAGGCTGAGAATGTTAGAGTCAGGGCAGAAAGAGATAATGAGCCCAGACCATCTCCCGAAGTACGAGCCACGTTAACTAGAGAAATTGAATTCCGAGCCGACCAGCTAAAGAGCTACAATTCGATAATAGAGTCACTCACTCCCAACTTAGCAGTGCTTAACGAAAGTACTTTAGCTATCGAGACTACTCAGTTGTCGTTGTTTGCTGCCCACCTAAAAGACGAGACCGAAAGGAGAAAAGCTGAAGTTGGACAAGCTTTAGGCATAAAAACTCAGCTCCAGTCTAGAGAACTCACTTTAAATCAGTTGGATGACCCGACTAAGGACGAGGTAGTCTTTTTCAATATGAAAACCTTACGCGATTCCAGTACCTACAAAGGTGACAAAAATGTTGCCAATAACATCCTGGCTAATATACCAATGTTCTCAGGAGCCGAAGGCACTTGGGTAGACTGGTGGAATGAAGTCCGCCTAGCTCTAGCCGATTGCGAGGTTACTGATGCACATGTGACAAAAATGTTGCCAATAACATCCTGGCTAATATACCGATGTTCTCAGGAGCCGAAGGCACTTGGGTAGACTGGTGGAATGAAGTCCGCCTAGCTCTAGCCGATTGCGAGGTTACTGATGCACATATGAGATCAATTATACGCCAGAGAGTTACTGGGAAAGCCAAAGAGTTTTTAAATAATGCCACCCCAGGATTATTAGATCAACCTTATCCCACAATTGTGAGAGCTCTCGAAAAGGCATATGGTGGTGATTTGATGGGATTGGGCGTGCTGAAGCTACAAAAGATATCGCAGGGTGACCTAGAGAACATCCTAGATTACTCAGTGCGCATTAAAAAAATTGGTCTCGAGATGTTGGGAGAAGGCCCAAGTAAAATAAAGGTTTTACGAGTTGAGAATTCCGAGCCAAAAATAGTCGCCAACCCTATGTTGGCTGAAGAGACTTTGCGACATGACTGTCGTATGGCTCAGATCGATGAGATCATGCTGAGTCACTTTATGGCAGGTTT